CCCCACTATGAACGCAGGCCCACTGTGACATCGAGCCTCTTATAACTACTCGCTGCTTCCTATCCGTTAACCAGTTATCAATCCAAACACTTGCTTTTCAGAAGCGAGAAGCATCTCCCCCTATCCTCAGCACCACATGCCCCATTAAACTGACCTGTAATGTCGAGGTAGGATTCAGGGGTGGTTCTAGGATTTCTTTAAGGTGGGGGACAAAAGGAGAGCCATAATAGATACAGAAGGGCCAACCTAATTATTAGCCAGTCATATGTTTTGATTCGGTGACTGACAGGGGAGAAGGTACTCCAGGGGCCAATGAGCTTTCAGCTGGGGCTTGCTTGTTTTTTGCAGATCTTTTAATGTGGTGCTCGTCGCAGTTTAGGTGGACGCACGCAGCACGGTGGCTGCCATCTTCCGTGGTGGGACCGGAGAGGGGGGGGCTCAGCCGCTGTCAAATGTAGCTGATGTCAGCTCGGCGTCGGCACGGGGACGAGCTGAAGGTCACCCCCTGTGTGGGTACATGCTGGCGTGCGGTAATGCCCTCCCCGCTCCCTGTAGTTGCTTCACTCACACCCGAGTCAGAGGATCTAGGGTTTAGCGCCCCCTTCAGGTTGGCATCTATCATGTCCATTCCTAAAGGCTGAGCTCGGGGGGTCTTGGCTGGTGCCCCAGACTGGGTTGCCACATTAGACACACCTGGACACCTCTGTCCCTCTGCTCCTCATTCAATGGCAGCCTCATCTGGATTCAGAGCCAGGTGTGGTTTTGGGGTCTGAGGGAATAGGGCTTTGCTGTGCCATTTACTTTAGAGAAGAGCGGCATGCTGGGTAGGCAACAGACTAATAAAGAAAGTTAGACAGACCCTGAAGTCGATCAGGTCTGGGGGGGGGGGGGGTCTTCTAGCCGCATCCGGGAAGCCGCAGAGCCCACCAGCCTCCACCAGACGCATCCTGCACGACCTGTGTTTGACCCCCCTGCCGGTCGCTGCCCCCCCCACTCCCAAACTGGGCTCTCCTCCCTTTGTCTTACCCCCCCACCCCCACCCCGGGCATCCCTTCTCCCCTCTTTTCCACCCTCCTTTTCCTTTCCGCTCAGGAAGGTGCGACATGGGAGGTGGGGGTGGGGTTTCCCTTTTACACCCTGACCTCCCTGGCCGGCGCTACGTGCCGATGGCCACCCTCAGACTTTTGGGGACACACTTCAGAGGGCAGCAGGAAAGCCAACAGGATGTCCTTCCCAGTGCTATCGTAAGATGCCTGGGGACTCCTGGGGACGCGGTGGTACAAACCTTCTCCTTTATTTAGTTTTTTATTTAGACTCCCATCTTGTCTGCGCCGGGCATCACTTCGGTGTGTTTCCGCATGCTGCCAGTTCACTGTGAACCCTGCGCCTTGGGGGCTCTGCACACAGCTGGGAGCGATTATCTGCGAAGGAACACGCCCTCCCCCCTCACCGGCGCTTGCCGTGCCCCCAGTGCGAGTCCCCACACCGCTGTCTCTTACTCCCCCCCTACCCCGTGCTCTCAAAGTCAGGGGCGCCGGTCCGCTCTGGGGTCGATGCTGTTTTCAGCTCGCGTCAGCAGTTTCGGCAGCAGCGAGCCATAGATTGCCCCCCCCACCACCACCCCCACCTCGTGCTTTTCATTTATTATTTTGCCAGCCCACATGCTACACGTCTCTCCGCCACAGCTCCCGTCACGGCTAAACTCATTTCTGCTGCCGGCTATTTACGATGTCCTCGCCGCCCGGTGCTGGAGGTGGAGTCTCGCCGGCTGCTCGACCCCCCTCCCCCCGAGCGACCGCCCTCCAGGCCCAGCTGCGTCCACTCCGACTGCCTGCGTGATTATTTATTATTAATCTGTGTCTCTGCTAGCCTGCCCTCCACAGGGAAACCACAGGAAAGCTGAGAGTTATATGAGGAGAGCCCTGAGTGCCTGCGGCCCCGGTGTTTAAAGCCTCCGCAAGGACCCCGTCTTCGGCACATGTGGGCTGCCAATCTGCCTGAATGCTTTTCCTGGTTTGGGCCTGAGTGTTTTCCCACCTTGTGGTGAGGACGGCCTGGCCCGTTTGGTGCGGGGGGAGCGCGGTCTCTGGATTACGCTCAGGGGGGGCTGACGGTTTCCCCCAAAACCACCTACCGACGGCATAAACTGTCAGCAGCCAAACCGCGGATTTATGCGTGTGAGGCTGGGTTTGGCTGTCAGGGCTCGGAAATTTAAAGGTGTTACTGTTAATGCGACCCCTGTAATGAGGGCGCTCAGAGGTGAAGGCGCCGGATCGGATGTGAGTGGAGGCGAGATGTTCCCAAGCTGCAGCCTACTGGTAACCGAGCCGAACTGTGACCGCACCAGCAGGTTTCCCCAGCCAGACCTGGTTGAGGTGCTTTAGGGTCGATAGGCTCAGTAATTAGGGCCCATCTGTAAACTCTGCCCATTCGTCTGACCTCCTAACCCACCACCCTACCCTGTCTCCTGCTTGCCCCCCCCCCCCCCGAACTCTACATTTATGTGCCTTCTGTCTTGGCAGGAGAGGATACATGGCTGATCTCTTGTACCTTTAAGTACATTGAAAAGTCTGATGTGTTGGAGCTGAGTGGCATATGTAATAAAATACCCTGGCAACGGATATCCCAGTGATGGGGGGAGCAGCAGCTAGGCCCGACCTCCCCCCCCCTCACCTCCACTCAGGGACGGATTACGGACCGGGCCAGCGGGGCCGCTGCCCAGGGGCCCTTGGGGTGCAGGGGGCCCGCAGGGCCTCTAGCCCAAAACAATTTGCAACGCTTATCAACAATGTATTTTCGTTTGTCTATTTTAGAGGGCCTACATTCTTTGATCCTCTGCCTACAAGGGCCCCTGACCCTATAGGGCCTCTGATGGAAACATGGAGGGAGGGCGTTTGGCTGCCAAGGGCCCTTGAATTGTGGTGGTGGTGGTAGTGGGGGGGGGCCCTCGCGAACGTTTTGCCCAGGGGCCCACACAACCTATAATCCATCCCTGCCTCCACTGGGTACTCCACTGGCACTCTGTGTGAACTGCGTCGGTCGGCTCTTTCACCAAGGGGCGGCTCAGCTTGTTGCCATGGGCCTGCGGGCTGGGAGGTCAGACGGCCCTGCCAAGGAGAGAACCGAGAGGCTGCTGTGAGGAGTATGTCATGCTGGGGTGCATGGCACATATGCTGGGAAAGGGACAGTGTATCTGTGCAGTGTGTATAGGACAGTGTGTAAGTACAGCGTGTATGGGATAGTGTGTCAGTACAGTGTCCATAGGACAGTGTCAGTACAGTGCATCAATACTGAGCAGTATGTCAGTACAGTGTGCATACAGCATTATGTCAGTACAGTGTGTCAATGCATTGTGCATAAGACTGTGTGTCAGTACAGTACAGAGCATCAGTTCAGTGTGTCCATAACAAGCAGTGTGTCCGTACAGTGTGTCAGTACCAAGCAGTCTGTCAGTACAGTGTGTACTGGACAGTGTTCAAATACTAAGCTTTGTATCAGTACAGTATATCAGTACTGAGCATTGTGTCAGTACAGTATGTTAGTACTGGACAGTATGTCAGTACAGTGTGTACAGGACAATTTGTCAGTACTAAGTATTGGGCAGTGTGTCAGTAAGGTATGTCAGTACTAAGCAGTGTGTCAGTACGGTGTGCATAGGACAGTGTGTCAGTACGGTGTGCATAGGACAGTGTGTCAGTACAGTGTTTCAGTACTGGGCAGTGTGTCTGTACAGTGTTCATAGGACTGTGTGTCAGTACCGAGCAGTGTGTCAGTACCAAGCAGTGTGTCAGTACATTGTGTCAGTACACTGCGCATGAATGACAGGACCCTCGCTTCCTTGCATTATTTAACACCCCATCCTGCCTCATTTCCATCCTCTTTCCCTGTCTTGCCAGTTGTTACCCTGTCACTAACGCCCACCCTCCTCTGTCTGTGTCTCAGGGCATCTGGGCTTCCAGGACAGTTTCGTCACGCCGGGTGTCTTCAGCGTCACTGAGCTTGTGCGAGTCTCCCAGAGTAAGTGCCCTTCCCTTCCTCTGGCTTCGACAAGCCAGTCCCTGTTTCTATGCTTTTTACATTATTAGTAAGCAAGTTTGGGTAATGCCCCCACCTGATTCACACTCAGCTAGTATTCTGTTTAGCTCATGTTCAGTGAGGGGGTGCCCAAGATACACCAGCCTGTTAATTAAAGGGTTTCCAAACACACCACTGGTTAACTGCACTGCCTAATCTCGCCGCTCTTCCCCGTCACAGTAATCCATGTCCCACTGAACACCCCAGACACTTAAGACCAGAGAAAGGAGATTATTGAAGGTGCGGGAGGGCTGAGAGAGGGGTGGACAGGAAGGAGAGGGACACAGGTGGAGAGGGGGTGTGTGTGTGTGTGGGGGGGGGGGGGGGGGGGCGACCTTTAAAATCTGCCGACGTGCACGGCGGAGAGTGACAGAGCGGCCGATCCATACAGCGCTGTCGATAGACGCTAACAATAGCGTGGCCAAGATGCCCGTCAGCACTCACAGGGGCGGCCCGATCAAAGGCGCATCGATCACGTGGGGTGTGGGGGTCCTCGGTACCCCACCCTGGACCTGGGGCCAAAGGTTGGGGGGCACATTCTCAGACGTGTACTTTGGGGGTGAGCCTTCAAGTCTGGCCGGCCGGCTAACCCCAGAGAGGGGTGAGCAGGGAGGGGTCTGTCGCCGGTGTCATGGGGGTGTGGGGGTAGGGGTTAAAGCTCTGAGAGTGTGGCTCCTGGGGCAGGGGGGACGGGTATTAGTCCGATTAGCCCAGCTAGCTGGGCCCCGCATCAGAAGTCCTGGCATATGATTGTAACAAGATTAAGGAATATGCATAATTGATCCAGCTCTGGGAAAGAATCCGCTTTTATCCTAACATCTGTGACACGGGGGAGTAAGGCCGACACTGGGTGGCAAGTGCTCCCCCCCACCCAGCCCACCCTTTACTTCCCTCCTTAGCCCCCCTCCTTGCCATACTTGCCATAGCTGGGTGACTTCTGGCTGGGGCAGGGGGACACTGCCGATATTGGACCAGTGGAGTTTGGGGGGGGGGGGCTCTTTTCGTTTTTGAAATTAGCGTTTCTGTACAAGGGCTCATCTCTCCCATGGAGGGGCTGGTCACGGGGTGTGGCCACACACTGAGTGTAGCGATGCAGGGTAACAGCTGGGTAGCTCGGAATGCTACCCAGGAGGGCAGTATGACGGTGTAGGGGTGGCGGCTTGAGGGCAGTGTGAGGGCGTAGGGGTGGCAGCGTGAGGGTAGCTGGAGGGCAGTGTGAGGGCGTAGGGGTGGCAGCGTGAGGGCAGTGTGAGGGCGTAGGGGTGGCAGCGTGAGGGCAGCGGCGTGAGGGCAGTGTGAGGGCGTAGGGGTGGCAGCGTGAGGGCAGTGTGAGGGCGTAGGGGTGGCGGCGTGAGGGCAGTGTGAGGGCGTAGGGGTGGCGGCGTGAGGGCAGTGTGAGGGCGTAGGGGTGGTGACGTGAGGGCAGTGTGAGGGCGTAGGGGTGGTGGCGTGAGGGCAGTGTGAGGG